GGAACATCAGCTGCCGGCTACTGCCAAGCTTCCAGCTGAAAACTATCGAAGCCATCGGAGTTCAGGTGAGCACATCGCTTGGTCCAATCACCATCATCGCGGTCTACTGCCCCAAGCAAACCAACATTAGGGCATCATCAAGCTAACACGACGGCGACACAATTTCATCATCATGTGATGAACTAGCCTACGGCTAAAAATCACAAAAATAAAGAAAAAAAAAAAAAAAACAATTTCATCATCGCTAGCGACCTGAACGCCAAGCATCAAGCCTGGGGCAATAGTCGGCGAAACCAGAACGGCACAATCTTGTACAACAGGAAACCCACTACAACATACTGTGTCGGGACACTCCCACCCGGTTGAGTCGATCCGGAGCTCATGCCACCTTCGACATCTTCATCATCATCTTCTACCCAAAAAGCAACAACGACTGGTCGTGCAAAGGAGGAAAAGGTCTTGGTAAAGGAGGCGCCAAGCGTCATCGCAAGGTTCTTCGTGATAACCGCCATCCATCGTTTTGCTCGCCGTGGCGGTGTCAAATGTACCTCCGGTCTGATCTACGAGAAAACACGAGGTGTGCTGAAGGTGTTCCTGGGAAATGTGAACCGTGATGCTGTCACCTACTCTGAACCCGCCAAGCGTAAGCGGCCATGGATGTCGTCTACGCTTTGTACGGTTTCGGAGGTTAAATCATCACCAACTATGCCAACAAAACGACCCTTTTCGTCGACTTTCTCTTTGTATTCCTACGGCCATGTAAAGACATTACCATGTATTTTCAGCACACATATCGATAAAAGAAGCTTTTATCTAGCATCTAGAAACGGTTATGTGCTCAAGTTATTAACGAAAGAGAAAGTCGACGAACAGAATCGATCGATGTTACTTAGGACCTAATGCAATGTTCAGCTTGAAATGTCTTCATATTTATTTTGTTTACAGTTGACAATGTATATTTTGATGCCCTGGAAAGAATTCAATTAATAATTTAAATGTGTACTTATACCAACCCATGATTTTTTTTACCGAATTTCTTATATCTTCTTTTTCTTCTTCTTCGCATTTCAAGTTTATTGCATATCGCATATTAGCTTATTGCGTGCTCTCAACTTAGTGTTCTAGATGCACTTCCACAGTTATTAATTGAGAGCTTTCGATCGAGCTTTCGATGCCTGTACCATTTTTGCATTGGTATAATTGTGTGGCAAGTCCAATCATACTTCTATGCCCAGGGAAGTCGAGAAATTTTCCAACCCGAAAAATTCCTATACCGGACCGGGAATTGAACCCAGCCACCTCCAGTATGGTCTTGCTTTGTAGCTGCGCCTTTACCGACTGAGCTAAGGGAGGCCCCAAGGCGAGGCGAATTTCTTATATGTATCCCCTTAAGGGAAGGTCCATTAATTACATTCATAAAATAAATCACATAACCAGTGGAAAATATCCATGTGAATTTCGCATAACTTTTATGTGATCCCATAATTGGAAACTGCACCACTAAATCACATGAACGTTATGTGTACAATGAAATCTATATGATTACTTACTTATACATTCTGATGTTATGTGATATTGAGATAAAAATCATAATTTTTGTTTTTAGAAAAATATTTGTGCGCTAATAGAAACTAAGTGAAAACTTTTTTCAGTGTATGTCACGTCACCGTCTTCAACCAGAGGTTGCACTTGTTGCACAGACTGAATATTTAACACTAGACAAGGGACAACACACCACACCCAGTAGACAAGTAGGGAAATTTTCAGGTTGCCAAAATTTGCACCGGCTGGAGCGGGAATCGAACTCTCACTTCGTGGCACTCACAATACACCTAAACAACACGCCGCACGGCCACGAAGCCCGAAAAATATGGATGGAACTCTACTCAGAATTAGCTTGAAGTTCTTCTTTTGATTTCACAAGGAATTCGCCTCACACTTCACTGTGGACTATTTTCAGAATTACCTTAAAAATTCCAATAATGTCCAACGTTGATGGCCTTTAATAATTAAAGTAGAAAATTTTGATTTTTATTTTTTTATTAGATGGTAAATCAATTGCAGTGATATTTTTAAAGCACCCCAGCAGGCCTGGGATCAATACCAGTCGGCGTCGCCGGGATGTTCTGAGGCATAACATCTCTGATCATGGTCCCCGGTTCATGAGTTGATGGGTCGATAGGTAGGGTCCAGGTGCGGGAGCTGCCTTCCTTTCGTCGGTAGCATTGGTGCTCAGCACGGAAAACAAGATCGACGGAAAACAAATCAAGGAAAAAATATTTTTAAAGCAACTGATTAAAAAATTTGGGAAAATCTGGAACATGTTCAAAAAATCTGAAAATATACATGGTCTGTCTGTGTATCTGGCAAGACGACTAAAAATCTGGAAAATCCGGATAAATCTGGAATACTGGCAACGCTGAACCCTACCTATCGCCCCATCAACTCATGGACCGGGGACCGACGGCTTTACTTCCCTTCCGAAGGAAGGCGTGATCAGAGATGTTATGCCTAGGGGGGCGCCCTTCCAGATATAAGTGCGTGATATTTAAAATACATCGTAGTAACACAAGTCAATTATGCGTTTGGTAAGATTCTTTAGTTCAAAAGTTAGGGGCTGTTCATTAACTACGTAGACAGTTTTTTGGGAATCTTGACACCCCCCCCCCCCCCCTTCCCACTGCGTAGACAATTGCCATACAATTTTTTTTTAAATTTGTATGGTCCGTGGATAATAGTCAACCCCCCCCCCCCTACATTGTCTACGTGGTTTATGAACAGCCCCTTTATTCTCATTCGCTCCAAACGAATCAATTTTTATCTTTTTCCGATAGGTCGAAGTGAATTCAATGTCGATTCAATGGCGTTTTAATAAGTTATAGTACGTTCAGACTACAGAGTTATAACATGTTATAGCGCTATCTTGATGGTGGTCTCTGTGTTGCAATTATTTGACAACCGTTATAACATGTTATAACTCTATAGTCTGAACAAGGCATTAGGCCGAATTTAGAATCCACAGGCCGAGTTTGGGGTAAAAAAGCAGTGTTATTTTTAGCACCCTGCGCTTTGGTCAGATAGCTTAGGGTAGATAGGGGCAATATGGTCCCCCTAAGAAAAACACATGAACAACATTCATAAATGTAAGATAGCTGTGATCATGTTCATGCTTTCGAATATGTTTGATAATATACAATGTTCAAAATATGGATAAAACATGATAGACTCAACAAATTATTATGTTTGAAAAATTTCAGCTTTTGCTCCGATCAACAACGATACGGGGCAATATGAGCACCCTAGTAAAAGTTAACGTTTTTACAGATTTTGACTAGAAAATAACATTAAGGAATCATGTGAAATAGAAACATAAATTCTTTTAGCAACAGTTACGTGTATTGCTCGCTGTAGAACCAGCGGATCAGTACAATGTAATATAGTGAATGCAATGCTTGTTTTCTTGACTGCATATCTTATAATATTCTAGAGATTTTGAGCTAATGCTACATTACCATTATTATCTTAGACATGTAATTGAATTTTGATACGGTTTTCATGCAGATGCATATTAGAAGCATTTTCAACAAGGTTGTAAAAAAATTAGATTGGGTTAATAGGTATTATGCCCAAACGAACGGTGGCCCATCTCGCCCCGTATGGTCTTCTTGCCCCCATCCCCCCTATAGGGCGTCGATGTGCCAATTTGGTCGTGGCACATTTCGAGTATGAGAGGGTGATTGCAGTTTGCTCAAAAGTGCCTGAGTGGAATGCAAGTGTTTTCGATGGTTACCCGTAGTTGTTACAGTGTTACACCCATATTCTCGTTTATGTCTGGGCGTATTTGCCATACAAAAACATTTTTATTTGATTTTGAGTGGTGTATGGGTTTCGGGCGTGGACGGGCATATGGGTGTTAATATTAAGTTTACGTTAGGATAACGTTGAAAAATTGAGAAATGTATCGCTTCAGTTTGAGAAGCACTTCACTTCGCAACCGATGAACCATTCTGACGGCCCACATAACCGTGCAAGTGCCTTGTGTTGGCAGTGTTTATAAAGTACAATCAGTTAAAACTGTATTTTTGAGCTTTATCTCCTATACATTTTTAGGTGTTTCTTAGTAGATTATCATGTTGGTGTACGCTGATTCAAAGAGTAAATTGTATTAACATTGAGCTGTCCATAGTTGGGCATTGTTGAACTTGTAGTACTTGCACAACATTTCATGTGAGTACCAAAGTAACCATATATCAAAGTAACCATATGGTCAGTTGGGTATTCAGATGAAAATATGACTTTTAAAAAATAAAGCCTGGTTGTATCTCTTTTTCGTTTGCATGTAACACTGTTTGATATTACTAACCGCACTGAGCCTTCATTCCGGGTGGTTAACGAACCTGAAGAAGAAGATGACCACGAGCCCCTTCTCGGAACGAGTGTTTTGTTAGTGGACCTGGTCTGCGATTCAAGGTTGGATTCCGTGATGATGGGTATCACGTAAAATTTAAAATAGGTAGCATCATCTTTATCGAAATGTTTCACCATAAGTGTACCTCGCAGAACTTTTTTAACCCCCATGGGTAAAGATGCTGTGTTGCTCACTCCTTTCCCCTTCCTTGGTGAATTATGGATGGTGTGAATACATACTGACCCCCTTTTACATCATAAAATGAAAGCAATATTTCAACAATTAGTTACTCTTCATCAAATCTTACGGTACGAACGGAAAGGTAAATACATGTAGAAGTTATCTGCAGCGAAAACATTCAAAAAAAAATCCGGTCGAAATAGAGGTAAAGCGCGGGTTGTGATTAGTAGGCCCAAAATTGGATCTAAGATCTTCTACGAGAGGTTCCTAATAATTATGTCCTTAGCTTTCTGCACCAAATTAAATAAGTCTGGGGTTTAATTAACCAACATTAATCAATTAACGGTATACCTACTGATTTGAAATAAATGTTGCACATGAAAGCTGATAAAATATTTAAATATACTTGCAGCAAATTGTCGGTGTAACATGCCTCGGGGCTGCCCATTCGATGCTCGTTCAAAAAACTTTCGACTTTTGTATCGTGGACGAAGCGACCCAGGTATTCCAAAGTGCTGTAATCAGACCGTTGCTGTTTTCGGACAAGTTCGTTTTGATCGGTGACCCAGATCAGTTGCCTCCGGTTATAAAATCGCGTAAAGCCAAGTAAAATTAGTTCAAACTTTCCACTAAGTAGCTATACACAATATAACACAACTTCTATTGCAGAGATCTGGGGGCTGATGAGAGTTTGTTCTTCCGGTTAGATGTGGAACAATCTTGCTGTGTGCTGCCTACACAGTATCGCATGAATAGAATCATTACCAAGTTGGCCAACGATTTTTCCTACAAAGGGAAATTGCTGTGCGCAAACGAGGAAGTCGCCAATTCTGCGATGAAACTTTCACAGGCACAGAGTATGCAACAGAAGCATAAGCTGGAAAAGTGGCTTCTACGAACGACGGCGTCACAACTTGAGCTATCGGTTGTGCTAATTAACACGCTGAACACATTCAAAAGCAGCCTGTCATACAATACGAACAGGAAGCGTGAATACTCATATGTTGCAATGGATAGTAACCCAGAGGAAGATCCGAAGGCGATCTACGAAAACTATTGCGAAGCTGCCATCGTATTCTACACTATCATGGCGCTGGTTGAAGTGAGTTGGCATTACAATATTGTCAAAAGTTTCTACTTTTGATATAAAATCATAATTTGAAACATTGGCCATTTTAGTCCGGTATTGACGGTAGTTCAATTGGAGTGATAGCCCCATTCAGGGCACAAGTGGATCTTCTACGATATTATCTTGAACTGCTCAACAAACTGTATGAAAATCAGGACGAAACAAATACCGGCAAGAAGTTGGACATCGAAATCAACACCGTAGATCAATATCAGGGCAAAGACAAGGATGTAAGTTACATAAGAAGACTTTGTGAATACCTCACCTATTGATTTTCTTCATTCTAGATCATATTTTACTCCTGTACAAAATCGAGCAACCCCAATTTGGTCGGTACCGAGAATGCAACCGCAAGCGAATATGCAATTCTCGAAGATCACAGAAGACTGACGGTGGCGATAACAAGAGCTAAGAAGAAGTTGATAATCCTGGGTGATACTCAGTGTCTCGAAAGATACACTCCATTCCAGAATCTGTTCGAATGTATTCCATCTACGGGCAAGATTACTCTCCAGGACCATTCTTTCGGTTTCGAATGGAGTTGTGTTTTCAACACTCTAGATTCATTACATGACTGTGAGGAATAAGCCAATAAAGTTAAACGCAGATACTAGACTACTTTTATTTTGCTAATATCCCGTTTCTCAATCTGCCTTAGTTGCTTCTTGCGCATTCGTTTCAGCTTGGCCGGGTTCTTGATGATTTGAACAATTTCCGATTTTCGTTCATTTTCCAACCTTCGAAGTTTGTTCTCTTCGCGACGTTGCGCTTTCTCTATTTCTTGTTGTTTCCGTTCTTCCTTGATCGATCGCGAAAGTGCCTTGATGTTTTTGATTTCTTCACGATACGCGAAATGCTTCACTGGGGGCTTTCCTTTTACTGATTTTCGAACAACAGCAAATCTGAAGTGACATGACATAATAAATTAAAATAGTTGCTCAGGGGCTGTGAGTGATATACCATCAGTTACCTCTCTTTTTGAGTTTTCCAGATCCGTCCAGACTTGGGTTGACCTCTCGGTATGCTGTGTTCCGGTTTGGATGGCTTCTGATTTTTCTTTGATGTTACTTTGGAAGGTTTGCATTTTTCAGATTTATCATCACTGATGCCTCTTTTTTTGGATGCTACTTCTTCCGTCTTGCTATCGCTGCCTATTTTTGCTAAAATTTTGGAAATATCCGGCGCTTGATCCATTTTTTTATCGTCAGAAATCTCAAAACTACAATATCGCCCTCGCACTAAACAAAACACATGTGCATGTGCGTTCGCATCGATGCGCGTGTCAAACCGTCAAATAAACAGGATTCCGTTCTTGGAGTCGAACGAAAATTAAATCCCGCCGCTAAAAGTAGCGCAACAAAGTAGCACATTTGGAAGTTGGTAAAATCATCTATCTCTATTTTTCCAAATGTCAAATCATCAAAAATAGTTTTTTTTCAGAAGCTACGTCCAAAATGGCAGCCACACGAAGACTTCAAAAGGTAATTTCACAAAAATGATTAATATTTAAATATAATACGCCAAATAACTTGTTCTAAACTATACAGAACGATAGTTCTAAAGCTTTCCAATCAACTTATATTGAAAACTAGCATTTGTTTGTACCTATTCCCAACTAACTTGGTTTGGCTGGCCCTTGGATACTCTTTTCATATCTTCCAATTTCAATGTCTTGTCTACATAAAATATCACCTTGAACCATTGCAGGAACTGGCAGATATCCGTGCATCCGGGTTGAAGTCATTCAGAGACATAATCGTGGACGAAGGAAATCTATTGTTATGGTCTGGTCTGATCGTTCCGGTAAGTAACTCAGTGTTTTAGTAATGATTTGCTTCCATTCGCTTCTTCCAATTTTTTTTCCCTCAAGTGTATGTGAACAGTGGCGAAAACTGCTGTAATCAAAGAAGGCTCTAGTGGACACGAAGAAACTTGTGTTTCGCGAGTTTTAAAAGTCAGTAGTTATGAAACGCAAGTGGGTGACTCATTTTCGATGGGTTGATTACGGAAATGATAATTTTAATCCCATTACTTCAGGTGCACGTATAAGCTGAAGTGCCGGCACTACCATATCAGATGGTTGAAAGTTGAAGGTTAACCTATTTCAGTATACCAATGTCAGTGATGCACATAAATAGGTGCGTTTGTGTATGTTTTTGGGGTTTTCAGCCCAGGTGCTGTAGACGCACCAGCTTTCAAACATGTTTTGTTAAATAGTGCTTGCAAAAAATATTGCACGAGATTATTTCAACATTTCGCATAAGCAAAACTGCTTTTCAAACAGTATGAACATTATTCTTAAATTTTCTATGTAAAACTGTTGTAGGTGGTCTATACAATAATAACTAAGCTTTCCGTGAGATATTCTTCATCACAATATTGTATTTTGCAGCTGAAACTGGCCTCTTCAAAAATACAGGATTTCTAATAAAAGTGCGTATTGTCTTGGGTCTTCTGCGAACTTTTTCGCATATGAACCAAAGAATAAGTGCGCCAAACGATTTAACTTAAAGGTGCACTTTTAAGTCGTATCAATAAGGATAGATGGGGCAGGATGGCCCCCTAAGGTTGACATAATTTTTATAAGTAATAATTTCAATTAATATATTGATTAAAAATCTACCCTAGTTCTTTACCGGTAAGCTTACTGCTCCGAAAAAAAAACACGTTCCGATTTTTCTAAAATATATTTGAAAAAGATATCGAAATACTAAACAATTAATCCGTTTTTGTTTTCTTCTATTCTTAAGACAATTTACGTGTAAAAACATTTTTTCTAAGTAATCAAAAAATTAACTTGGTTTTGTTGAGTAACTTTGTTTACGAAGAGAATCTCTATATCTTTAACTGATAGAAAAAATAAGGTTCACATGTAAATTTTCTCAGGAATCTACGAGGAGGACGGACTCTATCTACGATGCAGGAAATATTGTGTTTTGCTGTGGCTAGCTGCGCGTACGCTGAGTAGATAGAAAGAAGATTTACACGATTTTGAAGATTTCCTACAAAAAGATGATGCGTGATGCAAGTAGATGCGAGAAATGAAAGAAGATTTATTCGTTAGTGTGAGATTTTTTGAGCATCTAGAATTGAGATTTAGATGTGTCGCCCCCCTCGGGAATCTAAGGAAAAAACCTGATTTTCTTTATACCTACCATTTTCCATTATTTTTAGAAAAAGACAAAACGTGTCTTTAATAAATAATGTTTGACCGGTAAACTTTCCATTAATTTCTGTATAGGACATGCGCATAGATTCAAGTCAATGTACCTCTTAAATTTTGGTTTCTTTAAAATAAAATAAAAAAGTAACATTTTTTTACAACGTTCTTACCCGGGGCAAGATGAGCACCCTTACGGGACAAGACGTGCACCTATATCAGAAGTTGTTTCTAAATGATACTAGCTGAACCCCGTGCGAGCGTTGTTGTCTGGTCCTTATAGACTTGGAAACTACTGAACCGATCGGCTTGAAAATTTGTATGCAGAGGTTTTTGGGGCCGGGAAAGGTTCTTATTATGGTTTGAGACCCCTCCCCCTCTGTAAAGGGGGGAGGCTCCCATACAAATTAAACATAAATTTTTGTTCATATGTTCGATATGGGTGCACGTCTTGTCCCGTAAGATTGCTTATCTTGCCCCAGGGTAAGAATGGTGTAGAAAAGTTTGGTTTTCAAAAGTGTTTGTGCCGATTTCAAATATTACGCCTGCTATTATTGGGGCCTCCCTTAGTTTGGCCTCCCACGGACTAGCGTTTTTTTCCTCTGTTTGGGACCTAACACCACAGCGACCAGTAATTTGATCTATTGTAGTATATCCCGTGTCCTTAGTTTAGTGCATGTCCTATTACTCCATCACTGTAGAGAAATGATGAAGTTTTCGATTTTTTTTACAGTTGTCATCCTTGCATTTATCGCAAGGATTCGAGTCTAATTGAAAAGTCCCGCTATTTATACCCTTCGGAGTGTTGAAGCACCCTCCAAAGGCGCGTCCCTTTGTCTGTCAAAAATGGATTCCTTAGCAACAAAATTAAACAATGACACCAATAATGGCCACTTGTGAGCGCTCGATGTACAACTGGTAAAATTTTAATCATTACTGAATAAAGACGGTTTTCTCAAAATATGTTAAATTGTATACACACCCGAATGATTTCAAATTATTGTCTTTTATTTTCGATATCATATAGGGTCATTTTCTTCACCTCTACTTTAACCCCAAACAAGGTTAATCCTTCGTCGGACTTTTGTTGCCTAAAAGAAGATTGATGGGGAAAAGCCTATTTGGCAAATAAGCGTGAAAACCCCATATCTTTTCGAAATACAAGGAACAATAAAAAATGACACAAAAACATATAAAACATAAAAGACATAAAAAAAAATCTCGTCCTACGGCATGGAGTTGTCCTTGGATCAGTCAAGTCGAGGCCGTCATCGCAGATTTGATCGGGAACAACAAAAAAGGAAACAGTTAACGAAATTCATCAAATTTACATTAAATGGACAGCTACTTACCGTCTTGCAACAATTTACTGATTGAAAGCAGTTGCATGTGTCGAACTGTTTCGTCACCTGTCCAGCAAACTACGTTGAATCCAGTGATGAAAGGTTTCCTCCACTGTGCAGTTGAAGTCGAAAAAATTCATTGAAACGTGCAGACATGAACCGTATTGGATCATGTAATCCGTAATTAGCTGCTCGGGGTTCGAGATGCAGGAAACTCCTCGATCGTAGAACTTGCACAGATTTCGAACGACAGCCGGGGAGTCGGGAGAGTCGATTTCGCTTATTAACAATTTGGCTGCAAAAACTTCCTGGTTAATGTCCGCCTACGTTCAAGAGTTTCAATACCCAGGAATAAGCAACGATCTTCTTGAGGTGGAAGGTTCGTTGGATTATTCCATGGAACGTGAACGAATTTTCTCTGAACATACTCGATCCTCGCTATCGAAACTGTTTCGTACGGACACTATACTACTACATCAAATTCCAAGATCGATCGCACTAGAGAACAATATAGAGCAGTCAGGCAGGTTCCCATCAGAGATCTTAAAGATGAATCCGAGTTGCCTGTTAGCTTTGGCTATGATATCCGCGTAATGTAGCTTGAATGTCAAAGCAGAATCAAGTGTAGTTCCTAGATCACGAACGTTGTCCACACGCTACAGAGGTTGGTTATCGATCGTATAATTGAATTTTTAGCTTGCGATGGAAAGTGATGATATTGCATTTTTTAACACTCAACGTGAGAAAAATTCTAGAGATTGCAACCACAAGCAATCAGTGAAGCATCGCACAATCACGTACATCTTGACATCGTCTGCATAGAAAGACCGGCAGCCAGTTGGAAGTATCAAACCGATTTCGTTAATGAATATCGAGAATAGCAGCGGTTCCAAATTGCTGCCTTTTGGGACGCCAGAGTTGTTTAAAAAATATTCCGATTGATCAGAGCTGATTTTCACACTAAGCTCTCGATTGGTAAGATACGATTCAAACGAACGAGTGGGTCCTTGAGAGACACCGAGCTTCTCGAGTTTGGCAAGTAGAATGACATGTTCAACCCAGTCGAAAGCAGCCTTCAGATCCGTGTATACGACGTCCACCTGTGCTCCTGTCTCAATATTCGGTAGGTATAGATAGGGACATGAAAGGACCGAACGTTTGGGATGGAAATCATGTTGGTCAGGAGAACTGTAGTTTCTACAGCTGGCAGATAAAGCGTCGTTGATGATTATCTCGATTACTTTGAGTAAGCACAAAGTGAAGTAATTCCTCGGTCATTCTCGAAATTTCGCTTATCTCCTTCCTTGGAAACATGAACGAAGATTTCCAACGAGAAGGAAATACACCTAGTTGTAATGAAATATTGATCAGCTTTGAAAGCGGAGAGAAAAGTTCTGTTGAGCATTTTTTGAGTATAGACGATGGAATGCTGTCAGGTCCAACAGCGTCCGAGAATTTCTAATCCTGGATGGCAGAATCGACGAGGTCCAATGTAACCGTGAAAACATCAAAGCTGAATGCGTCACTGGGTGTATCTCTGATCCCTTCAGCAACTTGGCTTAACCATGCCGTTGAGTCGTTGAAAACACTCTTGAAATGCTCGGCCAGGAGGTTACATTTTTCTAAAGAAGTGTTGGCTTAGATGAATCTCAACCGGTAGTCCATCCTTCTTCTTCTTTTCTTTATTTAACGTCTGTCTCGCAATCTAGTGCCAATCACCGACGGACATCGATTGCCATCCATTGACGGCAATCGAATCTGCAGGAAGGCAGCTTCCACACCTGCGTAGGATATCGCACCCATTCAACACAACAACATGGGCCGGGTCCAACGGCTTTACTTCCCTTCCGAAGGAAGACGTGACCAGAGATGTTTATGCCTCAGCAAAATCCCACCGACCTCGGCTGGGATTGAACCCAGACCCATTGGGGTGTTAGAAAGCAGTCACGCTTACCACTACACCACCGGCGCCGGCCCATCCTCTTTCCTTTTTGGCCTCACAAACGTCAATAATAACATAGGATTACGCCGGAGATTGGTCTGCATACGTCTTTAGTACTTCTTGTATAGAAAACGGTTGTACATTCAATAGCCATTACTTGCTAACGAAAATAATCACTTGGTGAATGAATTACGAAACTGGATGTATTTGCTCAGAACCTTCGATCTCACACGCTTCATGTTGGAATCGAGCATTAGACCATGCAGGTTTTGGAGCAGGCCTCCTCAAAGGCACACAATCCATTATTAATCGGCTCACAACTTCGTCGAAGTAGCTAACGGCTTCATCAATGGACGAACACAAGTCAAGCGATTGCCAATCTACCTGGGCCAATGAGTGATTCAATGCAATGCAGCCAGTTCTACGAAAGTCCAGGGTTTGTACGATGTATGCATAAAGAACAGGAGCTGATCGATTCATGAATGCTTCCAACGCTGGATGATCGGCTCTGAAACACAATGCATCCACATGCCAGAATTGAGCTCTCAAGGACTTTGTTTACTCCCTGACGATAATAGGTTAAGGTATTGCCGAAGCCAACTTTTCCCCTATCTACTTTTCGTTGAGTTAACTGAACATTCAACTGGAATTTACGTCAATATTCTATAATAAAAAGTAATGAAAAAGCTCCAAAAGAGCGATCTATCACTGGTTACAACCAATCGTCCCCAAATGGAACCAAAAAAAGGGTTGTTTTCGCTTGATGACGTCAAGTTTGCGTTTTTCCATATAACGATGATCCACCCTACTAACAAGCATAGGGGAAATGGATGTAATTTCGGTCTGAATGCCCCTAATTTGGGCGGAAACATAAATTCAGCAATCGACAAAATTTTCAGTAGCGACCAAAAATATCCATTAGTACCGTCCCAATGACGCGTTCATCTTGATTAAATTGATAAATAGCAGCATTTTTCCATAGGCCAACATTAGAGCTGCTGGAGATAGAACCATTACTTTTATTAATTTTTTTTATATGTTTGACTTTATGTAATCCAATCTAACCATCATTAAGGCCACGTGCCTGTCGTGATAAAGACAGCGAAACTAAAACAGGTATTATTGAAAAATAATGTAAATCGTATATTTCTTATCCTCAGGAAAATGCTCCTTACAACAAAGGTGCGTTCAGAATCGAGATAACGTTCCCCGCAGAATACCCATTCAAACCACCAAAAATTTGCTTCAAAACCAAAATCTACCACCCTAACATAGACGAGAAGGGTCAAGTGTGCTTGCCAATTATTAGCGCCGAAAACTGGAAACCAGCAACGAAGACTGATCAAGGTAGCCAAAGATGAAACTTTCTTGATGCATAATATTCAAATTAACACATGATCTACTTTCTGTTTGCAGTAATCCAAGCTCTCATAGCACTGGTTAATGACCCGGAACCGGAGCATCCACTCAGAGCAGACCTAGCGGAGGAATATTTGAAGGACCGTAAAAAGTTCACCAAAAACGCCGAAGAGTACACCCGGAAGCACAGTGAAAAGCGACCGGAATAAATTCTCAGCGTTCGAAAAGCAAATCCAAATCACAACACACACGCATGAGCTCGTTGTGTATACTTAAATTCATCTAGTATTTTCTTTCCTTTAAATTCCTTATTTAAAACAAAGGCGTAAAGCTGTATTGTTGCAAAGTCAACGAAAAAAAAAAAGATAATAAATGCAAATTGATGAAGTGCTTCTCTTTTATTTGATCAATTCGCAATTTTGCTTCTATCATTTACGCTGTGAGGGTGCATCAGATCATTACAGTCGTTCCTTTAGTTTTGCGCATTATGGAAATTGTTGAGCTTGGAAATAGCAACTTTTTTTTCTATCATTGAACTCGATTATTAACAAAAATAAAAGTAAAACATGCTTTAACAAACGAAGTGAAATAACTAAAGCAACATAAGTTATAAGAATTAATGTAATAACTTAAAACTCACACTGAAGTGAAGAGAAAGAAAATGTGTAATGCATTTAATTTAGATCTAAACAATATGTACTATGTAACACGTCTGTGACAGCAAAACTGCGTTCTAACTATAATTAGACAAAAGGAAATATGTTCAATAAAAGTAATGAACAAATGTTGAATCGATGGTGTTCTACATTGTACATAAAACTACATCAACGTTGACTAAATGACTGTTGTCCGTATAACAGCATCGAATCGATTTACTTCAATGTGAGCGCAAGTAGGTTTATCATCATGTTAACAGGTAAGTAACAATACGTTTGCAAGTTTTGTTTAACTACCGTAACCGTATTTTTAGCACAGCAGAAATGAGAGCAAACTAATGTTGCCTTCGATGACATCAATTTGATAACTGATTTTGCATTCATAATATTTAACCTAAGGCCTGGCGTATTACGAGAAATTTGAAATAACATTCGCGTCCTAGGGGCATCCCATTATTATTATTATTATTATCTCTATTTAGGAGATTTTCAGCCGCAGGCTGGTTCATCTCCGGGAGCCCCAGAAGGGGGCTTCCCTAATTACATAGTTGAGATTTTGGAGAACCCAGAAGGGGTTCTCCTAGAGGTTGGTGGAGCTCCAGAAGGGAGTCCCCTTAGTACAGAGTATTTTTAAACAGAGTTCATTATAGTTCCTGTCTTGGTTCTTAGCGTGGTTGGCGGATCATGGTGTGAATGGCGGTGGTCGTTGTCGATGGCAGTCAGGTAATCGTCATGTGATATCCAGGCTTACTCCAGTGGTGTCCATGTTCGAAGTGTAGTCATTTTGAATAGGTTGATTATATTTTATCGAACAGTCCAGCATCTTTTAGGAAAACTATTAGGGCTGCTTCCGTGGACGGGTCGTTAGAGAGGGCGTTACGTATGCTGTTCGGTATTCCATAGAGGAGCCGGATGTTATGAAAGCAGGGACAGTTAACAATCAGGTGTTCGACTGTCATAATCGTGTTGCAGGAGTCGCAAAACTTCCGAAAAGAGGCAGCACTACCCATGTTGTGGGTCACTCGGGTGTGTCCGGATCGAAGCCGGGATAAGACCTGTTGTTCCCATCGGCTCGTAATGTCATTCCATTTGGAGGTGTCGTCCTTTATTTTTCTCAGGAACGGTCCCCTTTTTGCGAACCACTCCCGGGCCCAGGCGTCTCGGAGGGATGCTTTCACCCATTTTTTTACGTCCTGACTGGGTACAACTGTGGTGGCCATCCGGCCGGAGCGACCTGTGGCAGCGAGATGATCTGCTTCACAGTTGCCCCGGATACCGCAATGGCCGGGTACCCAAACAAATGAGGTGTTTGGCGGCGCGGCCTTTTGGATCCCTTGTATCCAGGGGTGTCTGGATGTTGCTGAATTCAAGGCGTATAAAACGCTGGCGGAGTCTGTTAGGACACATATGGGTTTATTGGCGGGTGTCGTGGTGGCGAAGTGGATGGCCGCAGCCTCCGCCGAGAAGACGGAGCACTGATCGGGTAGTCGAAAGAAGTAGCTATTGGATACATCCGCTACTCCGAATCCAACCTTCCCCACGGCCTTAGAGCCGTCCGTGTAACGGTGTTGAAAATTTGGATATTTAGTTCTCAGCAGCTCCGCTACGTGGGCCTGCATGGCACGGGAGTTGTTACCTGCCTTGAAGCGCTTGGCAATTGAAAGGTCAACGCGTATGGTTGGTTCTGTCCATCCTCTGGCTCCGTTCCAGTGTACCCTGGACACGGGTGGGAGCTCCTGATGGACCAAGTTTCCGAGAACTCTGTTCCCCTCCCTGAGGAGAAAGACCTCGTGATTCCCGGTGGTCTTTTCCAGGTAGCTGGTCGTTCTGCAGCTCAGCGTTTCGGCGACTTGGTATTGAAACGGTAGTACACCGAGTTCGACGCATGCCGATTCAGCCGGTGTTGAAGGCAGAAGTCCTGCGACGATTCTGATTGCCTGGTTATACGTTGGGGCTAGTCGTGTGGTAAGAGAGTCGTTGGAAAGGCAGAACAGTTCGATCCCGTAGAATAATCGACTGTTTACAGTGGCTTTGGCCACTTTTAGTAGAATCTCTCTGTTACTGCTCCGGTGTGGTTTGGAAAGTGTCCGGAGGAGGTTTAGCCGCGTGCGGCAGTTGGCTTTGATTTCGTTGAAATGTGCGTCGAACCTCAGCTCCCGGTCCAAGCGTACACCGAGAACCTGGATGGTCTTCTTGTTGGGTATTGGAATATTGTTCGCAACGATGGCTGTTGGTAGCGGGCGATGACGGAAGTGGCATAGGTGGGAAACCACGCTCTTTTCTGCGGATAATTCAAAGCCGACCCTACTGGCCCATCTTGTGGTGGCTGATACAGCAGCTTGTAATTTCCTTCGCAGAGCCTTGAGGGTGCGTCCTAAAGCCAGCAGGACGATGTCGTCTGCATATACAAATATGTATATTCCTTTTGGTAGGATCCCAAAGACTCCATTCATGGCGACCAAGAAGATGGTGACCGCTAGGACGGATCCCTGTGGGACTCCAGTTTCTTCCGCCCGAGTTGAGGAGCGGTGGTTCCCGATCATCACCTGAAAGCTTCTACCGCAAAGGAAATTTTTTAAAAAGTGTAGAATGTGGCCACCCAGACCCCAGTCAGCCAACTGTTTGATGACTTGGGGGGTCCAGGCGCGGTTATACGCCTTAGCTAAATCCAGGGCCGCTATGTCGACATGGAGTTCTTCATCCATCGCCTCTTGGAGTACATCGCCCAGGCCAGTAAAGTACGTTCCGGTGCCGTGACCGGATCTGAACGCATGCTGTCGGTGATCGAGATGGTCGTTGTCCTCGAGAAAGCGAATTAGACGGCGATTGACCATCCGTTCCATGACTTTACTAATGCAGCAAGTCAGAGAGATCGGACGGAAGTTTTCTGGAGTAGAGGCCACTTGCCCCTGCTTTGGGATGGGGACTACCAGACTGTGGGACCATTCGTTTGGCAGGGTGTTCTCTATCCAGATTTTATTTATTAGGTCTAGCAGTTCGACTTTGGTGCTGGACGGGAGATGTTGCAGCATGGGGTATCCTATATCATCCGGACCGGCGGATTTCCCTTTGCTGCGGGATAGTGCAAGGGTTAGTTCATCGAACCGAAAGGGCGCGTTGATGGGCGTAGGTACAGAGTCCTCCGGAATGACAATGTTGCCAAGGCTCTGTGTGGATGCGTGGTTTTTTTGTATGAATTTCCTGTCATAGCGGTCAATGGCAGAGAGTGAGGCGAAATAGTCAGCCAATTCGTTGGCGATGGTGAGCGGGTCTCGTGTGAGGCCGCTTTGGAGGCGGAGGGCCATCCCCCTGGCCTTTCTTTTTCCGTTGAGGGCGTTGACCCGGCTCCACAACTCGGACGCCGTTTGGTTGGAGTTGATCCCCTCCAAAAATTCCTCCCAGCTACTTTTCTTGGCATCCCTGATGATTTGCCGGCACTCGTTTCGCTTGGAGCGGTAAAGCTCGGTGGCTCGTTCCTTGTCTGGGTGGTCTTTAGGGAGGCGCTTCGCAGCACGAAGAGCTTTCCTTCTGGCTTTGATTGCAGATTTCGCTTCGGGACACCACCAGTGCAGGGGTTTTCGGCCGGGGTTGGGGCTGGTCTTCGGGATGGCGATATTGGCGGCCTCAGTGATGATCCCCATGAATTCTTCCATGCTCGTCGCTGGGTGGTCAATGTATGCCTGCGTCACATTATCGTTGAAGAGTTTCCAGTCAGCTTGATCGTAAAGCCACCTGGGTCGCCTTGAGGTCTCTGGAGGATCATCCCCTAGCGAGATGATGATGGGGTAGTGGTCGCTCCCTGCTGGATCCTCGAGAGTTTTCCATAGGAGCCGCCCAGTAATCGCTGGACTAGCCGCGGAGATGTCGATCGTTGTTTCGTACTGGCCGCGAACGAAGGTGCTCGAGCCATCGTTGAGGGTCACTAGGTCGAGGGACTCTATGAGTTCCGCTATAGTAGAGCCACGGGGGTTTGCTTTGGGGCTCCCCCAGGAGGGGTGGTGCCCGTTGACGTCACCGAGGAGTAGAAGAGGGCCGTCGATTAAGGCTAAAGCTCGTTGGAGCTTGTTCAGTAGGTCTGGGATTTTCCCGTGAGGCAGGTAGATGTTAATGACTGATAATGGAAAAGGGGATTCGACTTTAGCTCCCACGATTGGGAGATCGGTGTTAAGGTTGATGGGAGTGAATGGGATGCCATCAGCGATCCCGACGGCGACCGAGTGGTAAATGTTGCTTTGGCTGCAATTGTTGATCCAATGGAATTTGCTCGCAAGTGTGCGATTCATCTGTCCTATGTTGGCTCTGTGGGTCTCCTGGAGGGCCAGGAACATGGGTGAGTTGTTCTGAACTAGAATTTCCAAGTCCCCGAGATTGTTAAAAAATCCGTTCATGTTCCATTGGATCGCTAAAGTGGTGCTGCGAGGTCTTCCAGGAACGCTAGGACTTTTGGTTGGAGAGGGCATTTGGGTATATCTGGTGGTGGAGTTGGAGCAAGTCGAGGTTGGAGAGCTGGGGGTAGATCCCAGCAAGGCTCCACCGGCCGAAGGTGTCAGGATTGAACCCACTGCCTGCAGAGTTGTATGAGCCACCGAAGCAGATGCAGGTCTAGGCGACAGACCGATGGTTGGAGAAAGGTATTCTCCAGTAATGTCCCGGGACGACTGTCCAGTAACTGACTTGATATGGCATCGTTTGAGGCCGGGCGTTTTGGTGTTTGTTAGTGATGAGCAGAAGGGAGTGGACCCCAGCAGAGCTCCACCGGCAGAAGGTGTCAAAACTGGCCCCGCAACCGGCAAAGTTGTCTGGGCCACCGATCCAAAGGCCGGACTCGACGAGGATCCAACGAATGGGTTGGGAACCCCTCCGATCTTGGCCTGCCATCGATCGTACTCGCGAGCATTTGATAGTGCGTGAACAGGAACAGCTCTCCTGTCACACAATTTACGCAATGGTGTTTGAGGTGTCCGGGACGTGACGTTGTCACTCGACCTGACGAAGCGAGGTTTCACGGCTTCCGCGTGGGGGAGAGTGAAGTTATCACGCGACCCACCGACTCTTTCCTCTTCCTTATCGTTCTCGTTAAGATATTCGTTCCTAGATCGTTGGGGGAATGTGATGTCATCACTCGACCCATTATTTCCACATTCTTTGTCGTCCTTATACGGCTTATCCTTCTTGAATTCCTCGTCGTCCTGATTCATTGTAGTTGGTTTCGATCCCTCGTTGTCCACAGGGGGATAGGAGTGTACTCCCTTTTCCGTCCCTCTTCCGGCAGCCATAGAGTGACGGGGGTTGTCCGTTGGTTCCGGTGGAGGAATGACTTCCGCACCTACGGGGCCTCGACTGCTCCGTGGCTTAACCGGGATGATGAAGTTTCGGTGTTCTTCGGAGTTTGCCAACAAGCGTCGGGGGGTGTCTACCAGTTCCGGTTGGTCCATAGCGTCCGCACTGATAGGGCCCCGACTACCCGAGGCCTTATCCGGTATGTTGGAGGTTGTTGTGATACTAGTGGATGTCATGGTATTGGTAGTTGAGCTAGATCCAGTCCGTTCTGCTTCTTGATTGGTTCCAGCCTCAGTAGAGGATGGATTTGATGTACGGTGCATTTTGATGGATAGGTTGTGGAAATTCGATTACGCTGGGTCAGATAAGACGGACTGGGCTGCTGAGGTCTAGTTTTCCATTGGGGTAGGGTTGCCCTCCACGGACATCCCCTCGTCTTCCGAGGAAATCAGCCCGTCGACGACAATCTCTTCTCCGGAGGGGGAGCCCTCGGGATCGATTTCGGTATCAGAAATGTATGCTGGCATGTGATAATTTTTTGATCGTTTAGAGTCTACTGCGTCGCTTGTCGGCTTAGTTTGCTTCTTCTTCGTTCCAGTGAGTTTTTCTGGTTGCTGATGCTGAGGTTGGGTTTGTTGTTGTTGCTGCTCCTGTTTTTTATTTTCTCTTACTCCAAATGGTTTCGGGCATTTTGACTGTGACTTGGTTTGTGTGATGAGTTCTTTGTACTGCTGGTTCACTAGGCGGAGATTAGCGACCTCCTTATCTTTGTTGGTAACGGTGGCCTCGAGGAACTTAACTCTGACGAGTAAATCCTCAATGGTCCCGTGTTTACGTACGGTGTCCAATCGGTTTACCGGTTTCATGGCTGATTCCAGGGCTTGGATACGCTCGTCTTTACGCAGTACTTCCGTTTGCAGGTCCAGAATCATCTGTCGAAGTTCACCAATTTCCGTGGAGCTGGTGGTCGTAGGACTTTGTTTCAGCTTTTCCTCCAGTGCTGCAATTTTGCGATCCTTTTCCACCATTTGGCTGGAGAGATGGTCGAACTTTGCTGAGAGGTCTGCGAACGCTTGGTCTTTGCTCATGTTGGTGACTCCAGCAAAAGATTTTTCTCCGGTGGCCATCTCAAATATCCTTTTGGCTGCTGGGTATGGGATCCCCTTATCAACACGGATACGCTGTATTGCGTCTTCCGTTTTATACACCGGACAGTTCCGACTAGATATGGGATGGTCATTTGTGTTACACCTGGGGCAGAACGGGGTGGCAGAACAGCGTTCCCCCTGCTTCATGCTGTGCTTTTTAGCGCATTGACCACATGTCTGATCTGCTTGCTGGCATCGCTTGCTTGTGTGTCCGAATGCAAAACATTGGAAGCAGAGCATCGGTCCCGGGTAATAGGGCCGGGTTCTACATCTTAGATACCCAACGTCAACGTGCTCTGGAATGCGGGTCCCATCGATCGTCAGAATAACTGTGGCCGTGTTCTCTCTTTCGGTTCCCGTAGTTGATTTCCTAGTTATTCGGCGGATCTGTGTAACTTTCTGCTCCTTGAGATACGACAGAACATCGTCATCGGTAACCTTCGCCATGCTTGGGCAATTGATTACGCAACGGACGGAGTTGAGGTTGACATGCTTGGTGATCTTGATCTTGGTTCCATCGGTAAGCTGATCCATGGCGAGGAGGCGTTCCATTTGATTCTTTGAGCGGACCTTGAGCGCGTATGTTTTACCCCTGGCCTCGGGGATAGCACCATCGATTTTGCCATTTATCCACTTTTCGATGGAAGTGCGAATCAAGAAAGGATGCTCTGGCAGCTTTCCCGATTCGGTATCAGCAGATTCCATTCTTAATACCACAATTTCACCATGCAGCCCTTGTGGATCCATGTATGTTGGCAGCGTCGCACCCGTGTATGACCCGTCAATTTTATTACATGCCCCACCTCCACCGGGGTCTGGGAGGGGGGGGAAGTCCCACGCCAGCGACATGGCTGGGGGGAATCGGTGATGAAAATCGTTAATCGGAGCCGCTTGGTCCGCGATCACACTCGAGGGGAGATCAAACTACACTCGATCAATCGCGCCCTCGCCTGGCTCGGAGCTACTTAATTGTCTTTCTATCTACCACACCACCGAACGTAAGTTTATGATCGAAACCGACGACGACGAGACGAGTACAACCGTCAGTTCAAATCACGTAAAAGCTTCGACGGTAAGCTTGCATGCAAGAATTCTACCTAACACGGCGTGAGTCCACAGACAGCGATGGCTGTCGTCACTTTAGCGTCTATATGCGGTTTGTCCAGTAATAATAGTTCACTTTTTATTACAATTTCCCTCACCGGAATAGTTTTTCAGGGAGACCTCCACTGTGGGACGACTTCCTGTCAGCCCCCAAAACTGTTCAAATTCACTGAGGTGATAAATTTGCTACTAATCACTCGCGATCTCTCGAAAAAAATAATTGAGCCGAAACAACACGACCGATCGTAGCGTAGACGCAATGACATTTTTTGGGGGGCATCCCATTGTTAACTTTAGTTCCAATATTTATTAAATATTTTTAAATATCTCGTAATTATCGCTAAGTATTTTTAAGTATTTCAATTCTAGGTTTTATTTTCATCGTAGTAACGTTTGTGTTATGACCGGTTGCTAGTGCTATGTTTGTTGTTTTTTTTTTGCCGCATCAGTCCGATAATTTTAGTCGCGTGATCTGATCATTTTCTAGAGTATAAAATGAATTTATTTGAAATGAAGTGTGCATTCATTGTAAGGGCTACGTATTTCAAATCGATTGTGTACAGTCCCCTACAATTAAAGAACATTAAATGTTCTTAAATTGTGTTCATTAAATGTTCATTAAATTTTAATAACTGTACTACAGACAAACAGACATAACACATTGAATATTTCTCCTTGTAAAACATCGTCGCTAAAACATTACCGCCATCTGTTGAGTACACTGTGGTGGGCACTGCGCTGAACAGATGGCGGTAGTGTGTAAACGTCAAACGCAAGGGAATTGCCTATGCGCGCCACAGGTGGCGGTACTACCAACTACGATACTTTTATATTGTCCGTTAAATGCTTGTTCGATGAACTATTTGCGAGAGTTTGTCTGTTTGTCTGTGACTGTACAGTCAGTCTAGTGTGTTCATCATATGGAAGTGTTCCATATTTGTGGAAGAATGTATTGACGAGTGCACGGATGGATTTGAGTTCACTCACTCGACAAAAAGTGACACAACAGCGGGGCCCTGTTTACTAAAAATGAACACATATGTGTTCATTTTTAGTAAACAGGGCCCCGCTGTTGTGTCACTTTTTGTCGAGTGAGTGAACTCAAATCCATCCGTGCACTCGTCAATGTTGTTGTTGACTGTACTGCCGTTCTACGCATATCTGTCCCATGTAACTTTTGGGCGTTTTTTTTTTGTTCATAAAACAGTACTTTTTTATGTAGACTTTGGATTGAAAATATAAAAACATATCGTTTGTTTTGGGTTTGTATAAAAACAACATCAAGCCTAATTGTCCCATGTTGAAATTCTACGCATAAATGTCCTACACAGCTTTACTCGACTCAATTTATCATTAACGAATCGATTTGTGTACACAAATTATTGCAACAGGATTTATACAATCAAAAGAAACAGTATGAACCATTTTAGGAAGTGGCAGTTTTATTTAATGTTGATAAATATTAAGAAAAACGGGATTTCATATTAAAACGCCAGTTTATAATTTGAAACAATGCAATATTAAACCATTAAACACCACCACACTCCCCCTATATAGTGTCTACTAGAGAGGCACCCCTATTCTGTATTTCGTTTCGAACGAAATTCTCATACAAAAAAATATTTTTTTGTATGAGAATTTCGTTCGAAACGAAATACAGAATAGGGGTGAGGGTCTAGTATAAAAGAGAAGCGGATTCAAAACAAACTGCCTGGGTAGTTTCTAGCAACACTTTAAATGTAATCCAGATAGGCGCTGCTTGATTGACTCTGGCTTTGCTTTGACAGTTCGTTTAGCTCAAAACCAACTAGTCCGCTCCTCTCTTATACTAAATCCTCTCTAGTGTCTATGTGTTTCATGAAAAGTTCCTTATATAATATAATAACACGTAGTATAAAGGTCAACTCCGTACGGAAGAAATTTGCATGTGCATGTCAACTCTTCAAAAGTATTTCTTGAAATCATCGAAGCCCACGTTCATCTATCGTGTGACGTATTGATCTTTTGTCCACAGCATGTCAGCCTTAAATCTATGGTCGGACTCAAAATGATTCAGCACAATCTCCTTTAGGACTACGTTGATCTTGCTATAAGGAAGAGAAAAAGATGCTAAGAGGTTTATGTTCTAAATAGTGCATTCATCATTAGTTTCTTGAGATGCCATACTTTTAATGGTTTTATAGAAGTGTCAACAAATTTATTGTTGGTATAATTTAATGATGGAAAGCTATACAAACTATCCAGGATTTTCCAAAACTGCGGAGAACGCTCATGTAATCACAAGAGTAACACTGACAGTAACAGTTCCTACGCTCATGTAATCACAAGAGTAACACTGACAGTAACAGTTCCTAGTGGGACTAACATGCGTAGAATTTCCTAGTTCAGTGCCATTACATATTGTTCGTATAAAAATAGGCTTAACAGATTTCATTGAAGGTAATTTCTGTAGTTTTCACTAAAACATTTTGATTATGAAGTAATGAAATTGGGTTGTTAGCGGAATGCTTTAATAAAACAGCAAAAAAAGGTTATCTTCCATTTAATTCCACTTAATTAATTTTGGTATCCATGACAGATACGTATTTCGACTACAATGTGCAGTCTTCATCAGTGTCATTCCCACTAAAGAACTTATCAAAATCTAACCCCCTTAAGTACTCATCCCCTAGGTATAAAAGTCAAGATCACAGGTATATAAATGAAACTACAATGTGTTGAATCGGAACCTACCTAACTAATTAAAACCAAAGATTTAAGTAAGCTAAAGGAGAAAAATCTATTCAACTCTCTAATAAGGAAAATCCCAAAGGCTTGGTAGCCATCATAATGAAGTAATGAAATTGGGTTGTTAGCGGAATGCTTTAATAAAACAGCAAAAAAAGGTTATCTTCCATTTAATTCCACTTAATTAATTTTGGTATCCATGACAGATACGTATTTCGACTACAATGTGCAGTCTTCATCAGTGTCATTCCCACTAAAGAACTTATCAAAATCTAACCCCCTTAAGTACTCATCCCCTAGGTATAAAAGTCAAGATCACAGGTATATAAATGAAACTACAATGT